ACGCTTCTGTTGATATATTCTACAGAATTATCCACCGTTTTAGAAGACATCAACTGAGTTTACTGTAAAATTGTAAAAGTGGTAAAAGTCAGATTACTCACAACTCGTCGAAGACCGGATTTCTCCTAGTACTGCACTCCTTTCGCCTAGTTGCCCAGAAGAGAATTTAAATAGGTCACTACTCAATGGCATTTTAGCTCCTGCTGTGCGGGATGCATGCCGCGTCATTTCTTTTTCATTCGATCTACATCGCGCTCATTAGAAACGATAATTCAGGTGCTAATATTGCTTATATGCTACCGCATTAACATCAGAGCTAGCACCCAGAGCATTTCAGATTATGCATAACCCTTCAAAGCCTAAATTTATGCACTGGCACTGAAAGTACTCGAATACCATGGAAATGAGAGTTTGTGAACGCTTTAAGGTCGATTTTCCTTATACCGATAAGATGGGGCAAATTCTAGCACCCTTGTTTTCACGCAGTTGATGGCGCGCATTGATTTGATCTCAATTTCTATGTCAACATCTTGGCGTGCCTTATTTTTAAAGGCAGACACGAGGCAGCTGTGTAACAGGCATAGTCTGTATTCGCCTGTTTCCTTCCCACTCATCTATTAGAGTGATACTCATTTTTCAATCTCAGAAAGAACGAGACCGAGTGACCTTGATCTGGGCTCGAACCCAGGATTTTTTGGTTCTGAGTCCGATGCCATGCCAACCCAGGGACCCCTGTACGAAACAGCGTGCAGTGAATTTTTTACAAAGACGAAGACTGCCCTCCGCAGGATCAGGCTCAGGATCTGACATTCCCCAGGGGCGAACATATTTGCATGTGAATGCATCACTTCTGACGTAATGATAACTTCTTCAACCTTGATGAAATTCTGAAATGATGTCCATAAGTAAGTGGTAACAGATTTTAGTAGTAAAAGATGATAATTTATTTACTGTGCTACAATTTTGACCATATTAATAACATTGCGACAACTGGCATTCGATGATTAACGGCAAGGTCAGCAGCAAACTCCACTTCGAGAAGGTTTTTAAGTAGAGGTGGAAATGTCCATAAAGGTTAATCGTTCTAGCAGCAGGAGATGCTAGTTTTAAAATATATGGTTTCGTATGTAGGAGTGCGTTAACGGAACAAACGTTTTAAATCCTAGATGCTCAATAGGCTACTTAAAAAGTGCCCCACGACCCCCTTACTTCCACGGATCCGTTATTAAGCGCTTCCCGTGCTCTTATGGATTTTGACCAAATCTGTTGTGTAAATAAATTCCTTCACCAGCATCAATGGTGATTTTGGAGCGGCTATCTTTATACTGTTTCATAAAACATCGAAGCATGGTTTTTGACCACGAAGTATATTGTTGCGCGAGGATACCTCCCAAGTGCTTGGATACGGATTAGGCGCACTATGGATCCCTCGCATTAGAGCATTCAGGATGAATAAACGAATATAATATCTTATCATTACCTAGAATCATGGCGTGCTCGTTAACAATGATGCTTTAGGAACTAACAGTTCACAATTACCATCGTAATGAATAAAAACGAAGGCTTCGGGCACCCAGCATATTAATAAACAGATACGCATCGAGTTCCCTAGCGCATGATATCATTCTTTGCCCTTATAGCTAT